TAAAGATCGTACGTATTCCTCAGACTTATTGTACAAAGAATCCAATGTATTTGACATGAAGCAAATTTTCTTCCAAACAGTTGTTATATACCAGCAGAAAACCAGACATCTCCTTCAATTAATTGATCACTCACATAACACTAGAGGAAGATCGAATTTACAAGGTAAAACAGCAACAGCGAAAAAAACCATTGAAAAAAAAAACTACCGATACTTATCGGTAAGACTGTATAATAGTATTCCCATCGAGATAAGATCCATTGCCTCGCAATCTATGTTCAAAAACAAATTGAAACAGTACATGAAAAACAAAGACAGAAAAGACTTCACCCGACTCATAGAAAATTGAAAATAAATTTATTAATGGAACCATCATATGGAATGTTGCAAATTCAAACTTATTAATAGGAAATGAAACTTGATTTTCAAGAATAAATGAACACTCATCCCACGTACAGTAATTTTTGTGGGATTCGTCTAGTTTATTTGCGAAACTTGAATTTTGTGAACCTAAATAATACACGTTTCTCAAATCATTTATTAAATCATTATATTATTATCTGTCAATGTATGCTTTTGTTATTATTATATCTGCAAAATAAACATTATTATTATTATTATTAATAGAAACTTCTTGCCTCATTTTCATGCAAGGAATACGCCCCTTACTTTTGAATCACCCTGTATATTGAGACAGATTTCAATGACTTATGTATACAGTATGATTGTCTCTATATTCAATACAGTATGAAACCATTCACTTGGAAGTATGAAAAAAATGGAAGAAAGTTACTTATCTGCTCTCACGCTTTCATTCATCATCAAAGTCATAAATAATATTCAGTCAGTAACCAAGTCACTAAAGTATAAACATTCATGATTAATTTGTTGGATATTAATATCGTTTTAATGTTTGCTTAATTCCACCCCCTATTTCTTCATGTGGCAGATGTCAAGAAGAATACGAGGGTCTCCAAGACACAGGATTCAACCCGATATTGATATAAATAAACTGGGCGTCAATTGAAACGTTAATAGTGAAATTTGGCATCAACTGTGATTTCTCGTAATTTCTAAAATATTGAACGAATTTTGAATTGCCGCCCAGATTCTGAATGCCTGCTTCATCTTCTTTCGAACCGTTCCTTACAGCTTCTTCTTAATTGATCAGGACCCGTGATACAGAGTGAAACAAAGTTTCGTGGATTTTGAAAAAAATTTCTCCACCCCCCCCATTTTGTCGAAAGACTACGATGCTTATATTTTATTCGGGCATTTCATAAATAGCAACCATACCTCGGGGCGTTTTCGAGTTTTTGCAGCAAACTACTGTGGTTTCCGAAAAAAAAAATTTTTTTTGTATTTTTTTTAAATGGACTAATTCTAGAGGAGTTTCATAAATGGATGCTTTTTTGCATTTCAGGGAAGCGTTGGAGCAGATATGTATACCAGGTGACTCAAAAACAATCAATAATTTATTACTTCGCAGTCTATGATAAAAGTTTTCTACCTTAGTGGGCAGTAAATCAACACATCTCATCAAAAAAAACAAAAAACGATACCTTGTTTTTACAACAACGTATTGTTGAAACAATGTAGGTATGCATAAAGGTTATATCAATTGCCAATTTTCATGAAAACGTCAGTGTATTTCGGATTTCGGGTCCTAAAAAATTTAAAGTTGCGTCGTTAAAATCGGGTCGAAATGGAAAATATCATTAGGTAAGATCACTATAGTGATATAAACTATAATTCAGTACAGATAATTATTATTTCAGGTTACGACGATTAGGATATACCTAAACTTATTTAAGTACCATTTTCAATAAGTCAGTCATGACAATAAATAGACTGATTCATCGTTTTGAGGATACAGGTAATCAGTCCATTTAAAAAAAATGCAAAAATTTTTTTTTTTTCGGAAACCACAGTAGTTTTTGGCAAAAACTCGAAAACATCCCGAGGTATGGTTGCTATTTATGAAATGCCTGAATAAAATATGAGCATCGTGGTCTTCCGAGAAAATGGAGAGGCGGAGATTTTTTCTTCAAAATGCACGAAACTTTGTTTCACCCTGTATCATGGGTCCTGATCAATTTAGAAGGAGCTGTAAGGAACGGTTCGAAAGACGATGAAAAAGGCATTCAGAATCTGGGCGACAATTCAAAATTCGTTCAATATTTTAGCAATTACGAGAAGTCACACTTGATGCCAAATTTCACTATTAACGTTTCAATTGACACCCAGTTTATGTTAATGGGGTGGAATTGTTCTTTTGTGTACATAAAGGGTGTCCCAGCAAAAGCGCTGGATTTGAATTCGCTGACATTTTGTTTTGGCAGTTGCCACGTACAGACCACGCGATTTAAGAATATGGAGGGAAGTCATCAAACGAATAATTATTGTTACAACGCATTACAAAAATGGCGGAAGTTTTGCAAAAACAGTTCGTCAAAAATGCCAAGTTTTCGGACGCAATAATGCTCCGAATGAGGCGTTCAATTACAAAATTGGAGACCATCAGCTTGAATTTAGTCGGAATCTGTATTGAATGAGCAACTTTTTCTCATAATTGGTTATCTTTGTGGGGGAGTTTTTGAATCTGCCAGCGGCATCAAAAAAATCAACTGAGATATTTCAATTAATGACAAAACTTCAGGAAAACAACATTTTTCTCAAGTAATTGATAAGAAGTATGTCATAAAATTATTTCTGGGAAAAGGTGCATCCATGTGGATGAAATGTTTAAAAGAATAATTCACAAATGTGACATAGTTTTATTGTAATTATTTTTGTTTATAGTAATGAAAAAAATTGATAACCTTTGAACTATCAACAATTGGATAACCATATATACGGTTAGTTTGATTGGGAATAATAATAATAAAAATACTAATAATAAAAAAGGATATCGGAGATTAAAAAATCCTGAAAAAAGAGGATGAAAACTACCTACTTATACACAAAAATTCTTCAAAACTATAAAAACAGTTATCAACAAGGAAATTCTTGAGTATTCGTTTGAACATTGAAACAGTTTTGGATTATTTTATGAAATCTGGTAGCAAATTATAAACACGTGGAGCCATCTGGTCAGGAGATTCGTTTTTTCGTCTTGTATCAATATTATGTTTACATTTATTCAGTACAAACAATTTATTCCTATTCTTGTAGATTTTTGTTCTATCCCTTACCGCTGGTCTGATATCTGATTTCTCTTCAAATTCGGATTCACCGTACCCAATTCACCCTAGGTACCAATTTTCAGACTGCTAGCTCGATTTTCAATTTTTAGTGAGGTTATGTTTTATATCTCATGGAAAAACTGGAATATCTCCGCAATGGAGAGAGTTAGACCTATCGTGTAATATATCGAATTGGGGGTCCCGACGATTGGAACAGATAGTCGTCATCAGCGACCTCGATTCACTCAGAAAAAATCTTCGATTTTTGTTCTATTTTCAACGGCTGAGAAAGTAGCAAATTGCTGGTCCCATCTTCTAATTCTCTCTAAATTCGTGTTCAACTTGTTCAATTCACCCTAGGGACCCGGTTTCAACCTCCTAGCTCGATTTCAAAATCTTTAGTGGGGTTATGTTTCATGTCTCATCGAAAAACTAGAATATCTCAGCAACGAAAAAAAGTTAGACTCATCGTGTTATATATTGAATTGAAAGTCTCGACGAGATCCATAATTAAACAATTCCGAAATCAAAAGAATAGGGACAGTTGAAATCTTAATATTTTTGAAAACTCATCAGAGCAGCTAGAGGAAGAACCCCAGAAGCATACTCCATATCTCAGTCTGGAATCTACCTGAGCATAGTAGCTTCAGTAGCTGATCGTCATTTAAAACCTGCCTCATATTCCTGAACTGATATGAAGTAGAGTTAATTTTTTTGATCAGAAAATCACAGTGATTCTGCCAATTTAAATGTTCATCAATGTGGAGACCTAAAAATTCCAAGCTCTCACACTCCGAAAACGTTGTCACATTTTGCTGAATCTGATATGTCAGAAATTATAATTATTGACGGGTGGTCTGCATACATTGTTGTGATTGTTCCAGGAATTGAATATTCCAAATCATTAATATACCAAACAAACAATATGGGTCCCAATATCGACCCTTGAGGTAGTCCTACTTCAGAGAAGACCATGCTGAAAGTTGCTTCGTATTGTTTTCTATTAGAAATGACCCCTCCTCCTCCTACTACCCCATTTCTTTTGATCCATGACTTATCGGACACCCTGTATATGAGTAAGCTCGTGAGTAAGTGATGCATAATACCAGTAAGTTGTGAAAGTAAGAGTACCAAACATGCACATTTCAGCTACTTACAAGCTCACTAAAATGAAGCCAGCGTCTTCGACATGACCATTTAACAATGACACCCACATTTTCACACGGCACTAAATTTCCTGAAAAACAACAATATAAATCTCATTGGAGATGCTTATCGGCCTCCGTTGATGGTTGTACATCAGCCGCTTCTAGATATCAGATTACCACTACCTTCTACACATCTTCTATCATTTTGGAGAAGTGAGAATGATTTGGTGACAGAATTATTTTATTGCTTACAGAATTTCATTTCATTTGGTTGTGTGTTGAAGGAATTAGGTTTTTTAGTGTTATAACCACCCTGTGCACGTCTAAATAGCTACTCGATGAATAATTCAAAGCTCAGAGTAAATGATTTGTTGTGGGAAAGGAAGATTTTCTTCGGTCTGTCCCCATGTACAGGGTGTCATTTAGGACGAACTTCAATCGAAAGTATGCTATGAAGAACCCAAAGGAATTCATAAAATTAAAGCCAGGAAAGTAGTTGTTTGTTTTCTGTCATTGCTGTCATCTTCCAAAGTAGTTTTCACACACTATACACATAGCCATTTTTAGTAGGTTGAATAAAGAAAATGATGTTGTGTGGGTTCCAAGACGTATATATTCAGTTTTTCCATGAATGAATAATGTGAGGAGAATTTCACATAGTTTTCATTTAATAGGTGTGGATCATTAAAGTGCTATCATCAGAATACACCAACTTATCATCGAAAACAACATCCAACAATGTTCCTCCAGCTTTGTTCACTGAAGAAACTTTCGTGGTTTCGCAAATATATTGACGAGACTCGGTACACGGCAAATTTGACCACGTGACGTCTATTTCAGTTTTGTTTACTACCAAGCAAGTCTCCCCTTGGACGTTGACGTTTGTTGATTTCCTTCCCCAGTGAGAGTATATCACTGGATCTCTATTACCCCAATTCCATTGGGATTTGGTAGAATTCCTTGAAGCAGATGTCCAGTAAACACCCGGTACCTCTGAAATGTGGAATTTGATAGTACTGCAAATGTGCACAAAAAAATTACTCATAATTGGCGAGTGCGGAAAAATAATCGATTGTGTATATTGTATAGTGCGAAATACTGAAAAATAACTAACTTATAATTAGGGATATGAAAGAGATGAACCGAGTAAGGTCAGATTATTCAGGAATAGTGGTCTCCTTCGATCGATAGATCGGTGTTAAGAAATATACTTCATATGGAGAACGTTCATTAAGGCCGAGTAAGGTTAGATTGTTTAGAAACTGTATATAGGCTCCTTCAAAAAAATATTACTTATCCTGAAGAAGGCTCATTTGGGCCAATTGAACGGATCCCGTACATTTTGGTCCTTCGCCGAAGCTGTAGGAAGAAACTTCACTTCCAGCTCGTTTCCTCCTCTAACCAAGGAAGATATGGAACACTACCCACAACTGCCCAGGAAAAAGCCAACATTTTCGCGCATTTCATTTGCTGGAAATTCCATTTTGGATTCATCGGGAAAACAAACTCCAAACATAACGCCAATTGACAGTCATATACCCGAGATCACCTTTCGCCAACGTACTATAAGGAAGACTTTATTGGGTCTCAACGACAACAAAGTTTGTGGCTCCGACGGAATCCCACCGATTGTCCTCAAGAAATGTGCTCCCAAACTAACACCTGTTCTCTGCAAGTTATTCAACTACTCTTACAAATTGGGGATATTCCCGTCTAACTGGAAAATTGCAAGAGTACAACCAGTTGCTAAAAAAGGCAAAATAGCAAAAAGACCCTACCTAGCAACTACAGACCGATCGTACTGCTATCTTTCATTTCAAAGATCATGAAGAAAGCTATACCTGGAACATTGAAGTATTATCAACGATAGGCAATATGGCTTCCGTCATCAGAGATCAACTGGTGACCTGCTCGCTTACGTCTCACATATATGGCAGCAATCTATTGAAAAATATGGTGAAACCTCAGTCGGGCACTTGATATCTCCAAGGCATTCGATCGAGTCTGGCACCACGGACTCCTCGCCAAGCTCGCATCTTATGACTTGCCTCCCCAGCTATGTTCTCTGCTAACTAGTTTACTCTCAAACAGGTCTCTCCATGTAGTGGTCGACGGAGTTTCATCTGACTCTCTTATCGTGAATGCTGGTGTTCCGCAAGGATCAATTCTAGCACCAACACTATTTCTACTCCATATCAACGATTTGTTGGAAGCAACTTCATATTCAGTACACAGCTTCGCGGATGATAGTGCCCTCCATACCGCCTTCTCTTCCAGGGCTCTAATACCAGCCAGGCAAATCAGAAACTAACGAGGGAGAAATGTTGACAATATAAATATGGTCTTGACAAAAATTCTCGAATAGGGATCCAATAACTTGCAAACAAAACACAAGCATACCTTTTTTCTAGAAAAGCCGATCTTACTGTGCCCAACATAAGCTTGTCAGGAGTAACCATACCTCTGAAAACGTCCATTTCGATCCTTGGTATTACTATCAGCAATAACCGTGAGATCAATTTCTATAAGGCACAGATCCGACCTGTCCTGGAATACTGTTTCCATATTCCCATATCATGGAGCATATTTCCCTGTTTGCACTATTATTAACTTTACTATTGTGTGTCTACTTTTTTCATTTCCATCAAGTACTAAGTAATTCTTGAATTTATATCCTAAGTCAACACCGATTTGTCTAGAACTATGATAATTTCTATTGGCTGAAGATGAGTTTATATGAGCTCGAAACATGTTCCTTCAAGATCGATCTTTGATAATTCTAATAAATGTTGTGAGAATGACTTTGGGTTTCCATCTATGGATTATAATTTATGTTTATAAGGTCATTTCTTCAGTATTTCTCACGAACAGAAGGTAATATTTTGAACTTACGATGCTTCTCCAACAATTTGAATACCAATTCATTCTTTTCCTTGTTTTCAATAGTCAGAAGGTGCTGAGATCGTTTTTCACAGGCCTTCTTTGCATCTGATTGGTTTACCTTGAAAATGCAATATTTCCATAAAGAAGTAACGGCGAATAAGATGAAATCATACTAATTCCCATTCATTTTGTTACATAATGAGATACTCACTTTATCTTCACTTATGAAATAATCCCAGTCGATATGATCACGTGTGTCAGTAGGAGGGGCTAAAACAAAGTCAAGGAATTAATACAGTGTGACCCACTTGAAATTGAAATTAAAAAAAAATGGCTGCTCCAAGATATGGCGGACAAGATTTGGTCCGATTCCATTCAAAAATGGTAAGTGGGGGTTTTTGAGGTCGGAGATCATGATTTTTTTGTTAAAATTTATAAATTCAAGATGGCGGCTTCCAAATAATTTTTTGTTTTGTATAAATGACGATAACTCCGTTGTTATCAACACAAAACTATAAATGCGACATATCATCTGTAAGAGAAAAAAAGTTATTTGTAACTAAGTCATAGTGAGCTATGACCTACATTTGAAGAACTAAAGTTGGTGCTGATATCTCAAATTCTAGAAGAGTTGGTATAAATTTCATATTTTTTTCGAAATCACTTTGAAAAACTGCCATGAGAATGTGAAATTCCTATTTGAATATTTTCATAAAGAAGAAGTTACGGAAGAGACATGAAAATGATCAAAATCTGTTTTTTGCGTATAAAACAAAAACGAATAGATTTTATCAAAATATTTTTTCACATTATAGTTGGCCTTGACAAACTCCACATTTGGTGTCATTTAGCCGACTTCGTATCTCTCACCGTTAAAAAGATACCAATGGTGAGCATGGTAAGTGGGACACACTGTATACCTAAATGAATTCAGAAAGCTCAAAGTCATATCCACACAATGTTCATGAAATGATTCCCACAGAGGGGTCTTTCATAGACAATATGAAAGCAACGCCATCTGAGTAGAAACGAAGGAAAAGAATCACTCCAAAACTGATATTCCCATACGGAAGTGGCTGGTTGCCCGACTGGCGTAATTTCAACTACGAAATAGTCACAATGCTCGAAGTGGAATGAAATGTTGAATAAATACAAACAGCTCATTGTCATAACCACACAATGTCCATAAAATGAAGAACTTCGAGCATTGTGGCTAGTTCCAATTTATACCGTTGCTCATGTGTCCATTCTCACCTGACGTGAAATCGACAATCACTTGGAATGGTTTGAACTGAGCCGGCACCATGACGGTATCTTCCTGTTTCACCACATTGTTCCCATTAACAAGGATGTCCACCTTGGGAACGATTCTCTGGCATATGAACCGATAACTGTCTGAGCATGACTGGTCGTACCAGTTCATACCGCCGCTGCTTCTGACTCGAATGCAGAATTCGTTCCTTTGGTAGTTGGCGTTATTGGGCTCGCCGCGCTGCCAGCTGGTGAACGTTACGTTCTTCTCGGGAGACCATTTCCAATAATCCGTAGCCGAGGTTCTATAACCAGACGACCAGAAGGAGACACCAGAGCCTGAATATGAATGAATTAAAAGTAAAAAAAAAATTAATAATAAGCTTTCATCTAAACGCTCCATAGAGAATATAATAAAATGATCCTTTATAATTTCAACTATCAACTTATAACTCCATTATACACGATGTATATGATCATAAAAGCTTGCCACAAGAAACTGTCAAGAGATAAGGCAAATCATCGGTGAAAACCGATTCCAAATTGGTAAGGAAATTCGTCAGTTATTCTAATTTGAATTCAGGCTACGACATTATCAATGTTGACAGTTCAAATTGGCTCTGTTTCAATATTTCCCAAAAGACAATGAGAGCACATGCGCCGAGGCGATCATTTTTTTTATGTTCTGGTTCCCACGAAAAAGGATATCCTGTAATGTTCAGAGAACATCGTGAGAACCAAGGAAGATGAGGTAGGAATTGGCGTTCTTCTCAAATTTTTGAAGGTTATATGCGTCGGGGAAAAACTTACTTTGGCAATGTATTCCAGAGCCTTGCTGTTCGTTGAATAAACGAGTTCTTGGAAAGAGATGTTCTGCAGGTCTCCAAAGTGACCACGAAGGGGTGCGAAGTCTCAACTCGACGGGTTAATCTCACAGGGACTGCCAAGGGAGGTACAAATGTTGATATTTCAGAAGAGCATCGTCAATTGAAATATCTATTAAATAAAGCCAGATCGCCAACTTTCCTACGGTGTTCCAGAGAAGTGAGTGAGTTTGTGAGTGAGACATCACCCACGAGACGAATTGCCCTTTTTTGGACAGAATCCAACAGTTTCAGGGTATGTTTGGGTGCCGCACTCCATATTGGAACAGTATTCCAGGACAGGTCGGATCTGAGCCTTATAGATCATAAGCAGCTGACTGGAAGTGAAATAGCTCCTGGCCCGAAACAGAAAACCAAGTTTTTGGGATGCACTTTTAGCAATTGATCTCACGTGATTTTCCCAAGAAAGGTTATTACTCATAGTAATACCAAGCATCGAAATGGATGTCTTCAAAGGTATGGTTACTCCTGACATGCTTATGTTTGGCATAGTGAGATCAGCTTTTCTAGAGAAAAGGCATGCTTGTGTTTTGTTCGCATTGAAATCTACCAAGTTATTGGATCCCCATTCGAGAATTGTTGCCAAGTCCATATTCATCCTGTCAACATTTCTTTCTCGTTCGTTTCTGATTTGCGTGGCTGGTATTGGAGCCCTGGAGAGAAGGCGGTATGGAGGGTTCTATCATCCGCGAAGCTGTTACTGGACATGAAGTTGCTTTCAACAAATCGTTGATGATATGGAGTAGAAATAGTGTTGGTGTTAGATTTGATCCTTGCGGAACACCAGCATTTATGGTAAGAGGGTCAGATGAAACTCCGTCGACCACTACATGGAGAGACCTGTTTGAGAGAAAACTAGATAGCAGAGAACATAGCTGGGGAGGCAAGCCATAAGATGGAAGCTTGGCGAGGAGTCCGTGGTGCCAGACTCGATCGAATGCTTTGGAGATATCAAGTGCCACGGCTAAGGTTTCACCATATTTTTCAATAGATTGCTGCCATATATGTGAGACGTAAGCGAGCAGGTCACCAGTTGATCTCTGATGACGGAAGCCATATTGCCTATCGTTGATAATACGTGAATTTTCCAGGTATTTCATGAGCTCGATGTTGATAGCTTTCTCCATGATCTTCGAAATAATAGATAGCAGTGCGATCGGTCTGTAGTTGCTAGGTAGGGTGTTTTTGCCTTTTTTAGGAACTGGTTGTACTCTTGCAATTTTCCAGTTGGACGGGAATATCCCCAATTTGTAAGAGTAGTTAAACAACTTGCAGAGAACAGGTGTTATTTCGGGAGCACATTCCTTGAGAACAATCGGTGGGATTCCGTCGGAGCCACAAGCTTTGTTGGTGTTGAGACCCAATAAAAAGTAAAAGAGTCAAATTATAATTGGTCCATTTAGTGTGTTGAGTACTGTATGTTAGCATTCTCAGGAAAATATAAATAGTTATTCATTATACAAGGGGAAGAAGTATTAGATTTTAGCTCAAGGTTGTGCACAAAATACAAAAAACCGAATTAACTTCGATTTTAGCTCCTAAACACTGGAAGTGTTGCCTAGCAACATACATACCAATCATTTTATTTTGTCAGTAAGAGAAACGTCAACTTCAAGAGCCTATTATGAAACGAAAATAGACTACTTCTGAGTCGATTGCTGAAAGACTTTTTTTATCAATTCCAATGAAACTTTGGACTGCTGATGGAGCTCGAATCGACATTCTCTCATCAATCAAGGATCAACTCAGTAGTTGAAACGATACTGAGATGAGGAAAAATATTTAGGAAATACTCATTCTTTGAAACCTTGAATGTTCAATGTAATTCAAAACGATTATTATAGAATAAGCATCAGTGAACACCCACCGTTTAATAGTTTATCCATGTCATTATTCTCTATTTCATTATAGATGTTCGCTAGCTCCATATCCATACTTTGACAAAGTCTCGAGGCTGTGTCTCGTATCCTCTGGAAGAATAAAACGTATCTTCTCTGTTATAATGGCACAAGTGCATAAACATTTTCCATAATGTATTTGGATGTATGACAAATTAAAGAGTGGAAGTAACAAAGGTGCTAAGTGCCATAATTCCATGAATTGAGATATTGCCGTAGAACGATGTTGAACGACATGCTTTATCACCTGACAAAAGCTGTAAGTGCCATGAGTAATATTATCCTTTTGACAACAACAATTAGATGGAGCCAGCGGTAAGCGACAACGGTTATTTGCCGTCAAAGGGGGCAAGTACCAGAGTGAATTGCTGTATTGTCGAATTATTAGACACCTCGTTCTTTTGTGATTTTTGTTAATAATGAGATCAATGTCAGTTTGACTATTGCCTATATCCTTATTTTCAAATTTGAAAAACTCCGAATCATATCAGCAATACTTCCTGATCCTATTTTGTTAAACAAAATGTGGCACTTACCTCGTTTCTATTTTTTTTGGGAAATAATTTTTATTTTTAGCTGTGTTATAACATATATCGGGGTTAGTTAGAATTGGTTTTCCGTTGACCTTTTATTTATACGATTTTTGATGCTAATAAACTAAAAAAACGAATATTGACGTTTTTATTACTTGTTTCTTAAATATCTCGAAACTTTATTTTTGGCACATAGCACCTTTGTTACTTCCACTCTTCAATTGATATGCATCATACAGGACGTGGAAAGAAATTCTGAAATGGGGAAACCTAATCACGAATCTGCGATAAAAGGTCTATAAAGATAGCAATTTAATAATAATTCTCAGGTGTCAGTTCGTTATAGTTTCAGTAATATTATGGAGAGATGAAAATTGTGTATATCATGAAGAATGACTGGAAGAATAACTGGACTGCAGGTTACTGAGGAGGATTAGATTAGATTATCCGAAACGAGTTGATTCAAATGTTGTCTGTTTGTGAGAGATATAATTCTCATATCACTGATACGAATAATTTTTTTAGGAAGTTCCAAGCTCATCAAGATCAGAATTTATGCAAGTACCTATACTTCTTTTATACATTTCAATTTTCATTTCTATACTGAACATACCTATTGGTAACTTATATTTTTATATCATAATAAAACATACGCTGCTCGTCGTCAGTCTCTTGGAAGTTCAAACATTCTGAATAAAAACTTCCTTATCTTTGGTTAAAATATCTTCCTAACATTGTCCATATCGACAAGTATTCAATTGAAACAAATGAGCAGTTAACCAGCACCATTGACTGACAGACATATATTCGGTCAGTGCCTACTAACCTAAGATTAACAAATAAGGTTTGTTAATCTGTGCTACTAACTTTCAATTGAAGACCACACGGGAAAAAGGGGAAATGTCACAATATAGTGGAAAATGACTTGACACCGCTATCTGAAAGCCTACCCACTATATTTTAGTATAAACAGAAGTCCAGGCATTTGATAAAGTATCCCATCAACACCTCCTACAAAAACTTTCAGACTATGGGTTTTCCACAAGAGTTCAGAATACCTTGAAATCATATCTTTCAAATAGGCAACTGCACGTTGAATATGAGGGAGGAAGAAGTTTCAATTTTGTGGCAACGTCTGGGGTTCCTCAAGGTTCAAACCTTGGACCTCTATTGTTTTTGTTATTCGTCAACGATATCTGTAACTCAATTAGCTCTCACGAACTTACTCTTTGCTGATGATCTGAAAATATTTAAAATCATACGTGATAACCATGATGTTAATATTCTGCAAAAAGACCTCAACACTTTGACTGAATGGTGCACCTCTAACAATTTACCACTTAACGTAAACAAATGCAAAGTTATGACACAATTATTTGTTGAATAGTATCATTATTGATCGGGTAAATGAATGTAAGGATCTGGGAGTGATCTTCGACAAGAAATTGACATTTGCGTTCGTTATTCGCAACAACAAAGAATTTTCTTGTATTGAAACAATGAAAGCTGTTTATTTTTCTATAGTACGTTCTAAGCTTGAATACTGCAGCACTGTTTGGAATCCATACCAGAAAAAATATATCGACTCAATAGAGAAAATTCAGCATAAGTTTCTGAAGTTCCTATATTTTGAAAAACACGAAACATACCCAGTACTTCATTATGATCACCAACTACTATCAGACGAATTCAAGCTGACAACTTTGAGGAAGCGTATAGAGATCTCCGACCTTACATTCCTTTACAAAATCGTCCACTATCTCATCGACTCATCAGAATTACTATCATTGATTAATTTCTATCATTGATAAATTTCTATGTACCGCGAATTACTTCGAGATCGAACATAACTTTTCATATAGATGTATCAAATTCCCTCCATCATTTTCATAGTCCTTTGTTATATATGTAGACAGTAAAATAAGTTAGGAAACGTAGACATTTTTTCCGTTTTGCTAGCACAATTTAGAAAAATTATGTTTCTACAAACTTCGAATTAATTATTAAGTAGTGAACATTTGCACACCAATATTATCACAAAACTCATTGTTATATTTGAACTCCAGTATAGTCAGCTAATATGCTCGTTCGAAAATACGTTCACATGGAAAAAACGCGGAATGTCCATCTCAAACATGTGGAGAAAGGGGAACGTCCATGCTTAGTGCTTACTTGAATACAGATTTCATTGTGATTTGAATAGGTTGTTTTCACACTGTCAAAAGGTCAAAGTGAACTCTCAGGCAAACAAAATATGAGAAAAAAAAAGAGATACGGCCACCTTCCTTCCATCTCTTGGAGCGTACCAAAGGGAATCCCTATAATGTTAGGAGAACTTTGTGGGTACCTAGGGAGGATAGGGAGAGGAGGTAGGTATTGGGATTTTTTTCAACTTTTGGAGATTATAAGTTCTTGGAAATACTCTGTTTGGCAAAAACTTCCAAAGCTTTGCCGTTCTACGTATAAACGAGTTTTGGTAAAGAGTTGTTCGACATATTTCGAGGTTGACGACAAAAAGGTGTGTTGACTGGGCTTGTCAAGTACGTCTGAGTGATGGGAATTGAATAATGAGATTGCTACATGATGATTCCAACTCATATCGCATAGACTTTATAGAGATGCTATAGCTGTACGATATGACAACTTACCGCTAATTAGGTAGGCAGGCAAGAATGGAGAAATTTACCAGAGCAGATAATTGCGAGTAAACAATCCAGTTCTTTGATAATTTATTTGGACATTCCCCATTTTTCCCTTGAATTCTTGGACTTATTTTTTGTTTTCGATGATTTTTCCATTCAAATATGATTTTTATTTCTAGTTGTTCAACTTTATTGCTCAATATACTCCATCAAATGAATCCTGGTGGTTTGATCTCAGTTTCCTTCAACTCCCAAAAAGTAAGGAGGTATCAAACTTTGAAATGCGTTTTTCTCGAAACTTACTTTTTGTGACATTCCCTCTTTTACCCCTGTGGTCTTCAATTCAAAACGACAAAGCTTCAACTATGATATCAAAAATGGCAAAAAGCAGGAAGAAGCCAATAAGTATGCAACTAACTATGTTGGAGCTGATTGAAAACTCCTTTCTTCTAGCTATCCTGGCATTCCTGGCATTCTTGGAGGTAGCGTTCAAATGATCGTCAATTCTAATTTTGATCCGTTGTTGGTTGCAAGGGGTTGAGGGATACTCGCATATATAGCAGCGTAAATTGTGGCAGATCTGATCGTCCCAATATAGATCCCCTTGTTGCCTAGCGACCGTTAGGCAATTGTCAGTCAGATAGTGACCATAGCGAATCCTCCTCGGATTCCAGTTCTGGTATTTGAATGGTGTTCCGTCTAGCCACACCCATGTACGTCTGTCTGGCAAGGTTCTTCCGGATACCCAGCAAGATTCACGGATATCTGGAAGATAATGATATGGAAAGTACTTTTGTCACGAGTAGAACATTCGGTATATTCTTAATTTTGAACCATGAAGGTTTAAACGAATATTAATATATCGAAGACTGGAACCTGTGGCACGATAATACACTACACTGTTTTTGTAATTCATCATCATCGTCTTTATTATTCCCAAGAAACAATATTACATTTCATTCAAATTATAGTATTTATAGGTATAATAATTATTCTAGTAATTCTCATAGTTTGAGCAAATCCTTGTTTGAGTGAATGAATGATTAAAATAATTGATATGTTATATGATCTCAATATGGATGACATGACAAAATTCAGACGAATAAATATTTTTTTTCTGTGACGGGAAAAAAGTTTGGCATTTCATCACCGTTGGCAGGTTATATTAAAATGTCACTTTTTTCCCGGATATATATCACATATATATATATATACACTGTTGATGGCTTTTGTTGTGCTATAGTTCCGAAAAATGAGTCAATAATACCGTCTCCGAGAAAGAACTGCAAGTTCTTTTATCTTCCATTCGACTTCGCGGTTACGTTTATTACTAAACAACCACTGAATTCTCAATTTTTTGAAATCAAATCACAGAATTAGACTGACAGAAGTGACATCAGATATTTGATTACTTCAAATGAATGATAAAGATGCCTACAACGCGGTGTCCCTACTGTTAAAAACTTATAATTTCATGTCGATAATTTTCAGATTCCAAAATGATGTAATATCTTCTCAATATTGATTCGTCCTTTCTTCTGTCACAGAAAACAATAGTGTATTATACACGGGAAAAATATTAGATTTTAGCTCCAGGTTGTGTTGTCTCCCGACGCGTAGCGGAACTACTTTTTTCCCTTGTATAATAAATAACTATTTGAGTTCTTTCTTGAATTTTTTGGTATTGATATTTTTTTAAGTCTCGACAAGTGTTTCGCCAACTATGTTAGCATCTTCAGGAGAATATTGAAACTAAATATCCTACTCAAGTGTGCTGCTTATATACTAGGTATATGTTCACTCAATCGTGAAAAATACTAACCGTCAAGTTTACATGTTAATCTTAATTTTATATTATTAAACTATATAGAGGGCTATATGGAATAGGTCCATTATCCTTATTCATTACTCTATTACTATTCTTAAATATCCCTGAGCTTTCATTTGCGTCTAATTTTCTAATATTATTAATTTGAGGTTGGTAATATGTGTGTTATGATTGTGATTGAACATATGTTCGGCTACACACGATTCATCTGACCTACCATATTTTAAATGTGCTATGTGTTTTTTGAATCTTGTTTTATGGGTAGCCTGGTTTGGCCTATATATGTTTTATCACAATCATCACAACTTGTTGTACAAGTTGTTATGTTGTTGTTGTACATTTCCAAATAACTTGAAGCTGACTAATAGCATTGAGAAATTCAAAAAGGAATTCAAGAAACATCTACTCTTGTGATATTGATTTTTATAGTTTAACTAACTTAAAAAAAGATTTCTTCTTGAGTGCGAGTCTTATTTTACTGTCTTCTTTATTTTGTCATCTATATTCATATATTCACCATGTTCCCTGCTATAAACAAATGTTGTTTCTTGGGAAAAATAAAGTTGATTGAATGATTGATTCAATACTGACAAGCGGATCAGTAAAATAGGTACATGAGAGATCGAATGTGATGTTTCTATCGAAGTTGTTAGATATTGACTCACCTTTCTGTCTCATTAGTTCTGAAATTTCGTCGTTTTTCTCTTTATTTTCTATGCTGACCAGTTTCATTGATCTCGATTGACATGTTTGTACTGCATGGGTATAAGACATCTGGAGAAAATAGATGATGATGAACAAATGGAATTTGATTTTTTTTTTTAACAAAGGATGTGTCGATATATTTATTCCGATTATATCAAAGTGGAAATTGTATACATACCCACCCTCTTCCCAAATAATATTTATCATCTAGGGTTGCTTCACATTGTGCTGAAAATATATCAAGAAGAAAATGAGAGTAAATTTGCTTGATGGAAAATTCCATAAATTCATTTTTTATCAATTAGAAAGCTACATTTTGATTACGTTGCATATAGCAACGGGTGACTGTCACTTATAAACGAGAGCTTCAATTATTTCCGGAAATTTTCTCGAGAACACAATAGTACGAAGGCCTGGAAGGGACACATAAAATAAAAAAAATGAAATCTCTTCAAAATTCTGAGTTATAACTCGGAATTTTAAAATTCCGAGTTATAACTCGGAATTTTACATCAAAATTCCGACTTATATCTCGGAATTTTAAAATTCCGTGTTATAACTCGGAATATTGGATGTAAAATTCCGAGTTATAACTCGGAATTTCAAAATTCCGAGTTATAACTCAGAATTTTGGATGTAAAATTCCGACTTATATCTCGGAATTTTAAAATTCCCAGTTATAATTCGGAATTTTAAAATTCCGAGATATGAGTCGGAATTTTGAAATTCCGAGTTATAACTCGGAATTTTACATCAAAATTCCGACTTATAACTCGGAATTTTAAAATTCCGTGTTATAACTCGGAATATTGGATGTAAAATTCCGACTTATATCTCGGAATTTTAAAATTCCGAGTTATAACTCGGAATTTTACATCAAAATTCCGACTTATAACTCGGAATTTTAAAATTCCGACTTATAACTCGGAATTTTAAAATTCCCAGTTATAACTCGGAATATTGGATGTAAAATTCCGACTTATATCTCGGAATTTTAAAATTCCGAGTTATAACTCGGAATTTTACATCAAAATTCCGACTTATATCTCGGAATTTTAAAATTCCGAGTTATAACTCGGAATTTTACATCCAATATTCCGAGTTATAACACGGAATTTTAAAATTCCGAGTTATAACTCGGAATTTTGAAGAGTTTTTATTTTTTTTATTTTATGTGTCCCTTCCAGGGCTTCGTACAATAGTATATCATGTAACAAGTGTTAAAATCGTCCTTTCAGTAACGAGTATTTTGAGCACGGGCAGAGCAGAGCGGAGCGAGTGTTTAATAAACGAGTGTCTAGAAGAGTTTATAAACTCGTTACATACTATGCTTTTTCTACGAACTCTGAAATTTACATTAACATACCTTCAATTCCTGCTAACCTACAAAATAATTCGAAAGGAATGGGAATTGAGAACATAATACATGCAACTGCATGCAACCAGCAAGACACGTATTGGTTGTAGATGTGTCCAGTCCATTACTTATACTATCCTTTGTTTCACGTTTATTGTCACGCTTAGCGCAGAATAAATAAATTGTTTTCAAAGATTGATGCTTCATTTTAACACTTCTTGGAGATATGCAAGTACCAGAACATTCTCTTCGATTTCACTTTCGTCTACTTTTCGCATATATTTTTGAAGAAGAATTCTGATACAAACGAATATTGTTTGAATAATTCTGATACAGAATTTGAAAATAACAATTGACAGTTAATACAATTGACAGGCCAGACATGTCTCAAATTACTGAAGCTGTGTTTAATGAACTGCATTGCCATGGTAATGTGTTTATGAAATCGTGTTGCCATGGTAACGTGTTTAATATTTTGAATAAATCACAGATCCACAATCCGTGATCAATCGATCATTTAGCGTGGTACATATCCGTACGCTAAATGCCATTGTAGTAATGTGAGTAGAAAAATACTTTGAAAATTCTCCCTAGTCGGATACGAATTTTCTATGGAAACCATTTCGACCAATAATGAATAATTTTGACACATAAAATTCCTAGATTTGAGAAATCTCGATTTGTCACATTCTATATCTCTGTAATACAGGGTGTACTATTTAAAAAATCAAAGTTGTTGCTACTTTTCAATATAAGCGGCAACGTCGCAATGCTGAGAATATTTCGAGTCGATAGAACACAACTAATTATCCAAAGCACCAACTTTTCATAATAATCTTGAGATGCGTTAGAAATATATAGGAGTTTTACTCACCATAATGGCAAAAAATGGATAGTAACAAAGTTATCGACAACAGCCACATTTTCTCAAGCAGTTATGATGATATCGGTAGTGAATAACACAAAATTCAAGCTGAAACATGTTATAAAAATACATATCTATCATATAGAATCGTGACAGAAACTCATTAAAATTTCTTCCAGTCATTAAAACTGAATATTGAATGTTTCAATATGCTGATACCCAATTCCGGAAGAATATGCATTCCATAGTTGAAAAAAACAAAAAAGATAACACGTATCATCGCACGTGTCCCAATTTGTATTTTTTTATAAATTCATAATGACGTTCCTTTGTATTTTTGTTCACGAATATTTTGAACTATGATGGAATCAATTGGTTCTGGTAGTTAAAAAGACCAACATTTCTGTATGCTATAACTAGATTGTAGAGTGTAGATTGTAGATGGGTCGTATAGGCTGGAAGACCTCTCGACCACTGCGATCTAGAAGATCTATTGTGATTACCCCTATCTAGTTTTGGTCCTTTAACCCTAGGCATCTGATGAAGCCTACAATTCTCCTGACGGTTGAATTGTCCACCTCAGCAGGGGTGAGATAGACCTGTTCTAGGTGGTTCAGCCTTTGGCGGACTAATACTTCACATGAGCAAAGTATGTGTTCCGCGGTTTCGGTCGCATTGTTACAAAAGCGGCAAGTGTCAGTCTCTGCCAGGCCCATCTTTTTGAGGTGGTACCTCAGAGGGCCGTGTGCTGTGGGAGAGCCTGTGATAAGCTTTAACTCTGGTTTGCTGAGGCTGAGTAGCTCTTTGGCTCGGTTCTGAGAATGGTTGATTGAATCTTTTCGCTTGTCGTTGACCTGGAGTTGCTCTCCAGTAGGAGGAATTTTCAATTTCTTCCCATTTCCTGAGTTCTTCCTTTAGGTGATCCCACAAAAAGGCTCAGGACCAGAAAGTGCAGATGCTGCACCTTTTTTTGCAAGGCGATCAGCTGCCTCATTTCCTTTGATTCCTTCATGTCCTGGAACCCACATAAGTGTGACTTTGTTGTCCTTTCCCAGTTGCATGAGTGTTTCTATAACTAACAGGAATAAGTTCATAATATAAACATGGATCCAGAAATGCCCTCCTGAGATTTCATTTGAAAATTTTCCAAACCCTCTGTGATAAGATCATCGAATTTTGTAAATGAACCTACCTTTCCATTTCCGTTTTGGAAATGTTAAGGACTTTCCGGAATTTTGATCAGGAGCTATGGTCACTTTTTCTACTAACTTTCTCGATCAATTGATTCTCGGCAGTTTGGCCAGAAAATACAAAAATCTCTATATTTTTACTCAAAATGGTACTCTTGTTATACGACGCTATACATAGTGGAGTATACTACGGCCGTGCCAAAAATGCTATCTCGGAAACTAAGCGAGATAGAGGTATAGTTGCTTTGGAGAAAATGATCCCCATCGAATTTTGAGCAACTTTGGTTTTTGTGTGTGGTCTGTCTGTCTGTCTGTCTGTACTCTGTGTTAATCATAAATCGATATATCTCCGGAACCCTTTGACATATCGACTTGAAATTTTGCCATCTTATTGTACTCAAAACAATATTATGTCATTAAAATATGAAGGAAATCGGAAAACTCTAAGGTGGTTTTTCCGGGTTTTTTCGATTTTTCACCGGAAGTTCCTTGTAATCACTCTACAAATCGCAAAAGTGGTCCGATCGATTTCATTTTTTGTGAAAAAAACCTCTATCAGGAAGAGACGAAGCCTATTGAAATTGAGCAGGGTCGGAAAATTCCAAGTGGGTTTTTCAAGGAGATTTTCCGAAAAACACGGTTCACTTTAAAACGACATATCTCCTGAACCAATTGACTAAATCCAAATTTGAAAAATGCACCGTATGCCTCTTTGATGACGCAACAAATTATTACTCAACCATTTTTTTCGTGCATCCATCGGAAAATGGAAAAACAAATGAAAATCAAAACATCAAAATTTGAAATCCTTTCAATTCAATATATATCGAAAACAAATGGAAAAATCGAAAATTATCAGAAGTGCAAAGTTATCCACTGGAACATTTCCTACAAATTATTCCCCATAATTTTTTCTGTAAACCCAATAGTACAGGAAATAAAGTGAAAAATATGAAAAAAAAAATTTCAACGATCCATAGGGTACTATGAAGATATATTGAAAAACAAAGATTATCGATGGATGGAGCTCATCGACTTCCACTGAACCATGAAATATTTTTTCATTTTGTTGATTGGAAGATGGAACAAAAGTGTTGAAAATTTTATTCTCAGATAATTCCAAATATCTCGAAAACAACTGAAAATATCTGAAAATGTTATAAAACCAAAATTATTCCTTTTGATAAAATCTACAAAAAATCCGTATAACATTTTTCTCTGAATTCAATAGTTCGGGAGATACGATGGAAAAACTAAAAAATTTACAAGTTCCTAGATAATCACTTGCCAATAGAAAACGAAACAAAAAACAAAAGAAAGTAAAATGAGCACACTCGACTGTCTTGATTTTTTTCCCATTAACTACTTACCTAGCTCACTCGACTGTCTTAATTTTTTGCCCATCAACTACGTACCTAGCTCACTCGACTGTCTTGATTTCCCACAAAGAAGAAATATGGCATTGTTTTAACTAATTTTTGTCTTTGTTTTTTTAGTCCCTATTGGCAGTCGAGTGGGCTAGGTACGTAGTTTGTGTGGAAAAACCAAGACAGTCGAGTGGGCTAAGTACGCAGTTTATGGGAAAAATCTCCAGTTCTCTGAACTTTTCATAGCGTCGTATACACATCTTTGGTGCCCAATGATAGTTTCAATATAAAAATATGCTCATGATATGGTGCCATGGCCTCTACTTCCATCTTACATGAGCAATGATAAAATAACATCTGCTTTTATAGCGTCGTATAAATTATCTGACCTCTATACTAATCTAATACCTAATAAAAACCACATCTATACTAATCTGATACCTTTCAAAAACTACGTACCCACTTGTTATACGACGCTATACATAGTGGAGTATACTACGGCCGTGCCAAAAATGCTATCTCGGAAACTTAGCGAGATAGAGGTATAGTTGCTTTGGAGAAAATGATCCCCATCGAATTTTGAGCAACTTTGGTTTTTGTGTGTGGTCTGTCTGTCTGTCTGTCTGTACTCTGTGTTAATCATAAATCGATATATCTCCGGAACCCTTTGACATATCGACTTGAAATTTTGCCATCTTATTGTACTCAAAACAATATTATGTCATTAAAATATGAAGGAAATCGAAAAACTCTAAGGTGGTTTTTCCGGGTTTTTTCGATTTTTCACCGGAAGTTCCTTGTAACCACTCTACAAATCGCAAAAGTGGTCCGATCGATTTCATTTTTTGTGAAAAAAACCTCTATCAGGAAGAGACGAAGCCTATTGAAATTGAGCAGGGTCGGAAAATTCCAAGTGGGGTTTTCAAGGAGATTTTCCGAAAAACACGGTTCGCTTTAAAACGACATATCTCCTGAACCAATAGACTAAATCCAAATTTGAAAAATGCACCGTATGCCTCTTCGATGACGCAATAAATTATTAATCAACCATTTTTTCGTGCATCCATCGGAAAATGGAAAAACAAATGAAAATCAAAACATCAAAATTTGAAATCCTTTCAATTCGATATAAATCTAAAACAAATGGAGAAATCGAGAATTATCAGGAGTGCAAAGTTATCCACTGAAACATTTCCTACAAATTATTTTCCATAATTTTTTCTGTAAACCCAATAGTACAGGAAATAAAGTGAAAAATATGAAAATAAAAAATTTTAACGACCCATAGGGTACTATGAAGATATATTGAAAAACAAAGATTATCGATAGATGAAGCTCATCGACTACCACTGAACCATGGAATATTTTTTCATTTTGTTGATTGGAAGATGGAACAAAAGTGTTGAAAATTTTATTCTCAGATGATTCCAAATATCTCGAAAACAACTGAAAATATCTGAGAATGTTATAGAACCAAAATTATTCCTTTTGATAAAATCCACAAAAAATCCTCATAACATTTTTTTCTGAATTTAATAGTTCGGGAGATACGATGAAAAAACTAAAAAATTTACAAGTTCCTAGATAATCACTTGCCAATAGAAAACAAAAGAAAGTAAAAAAAGCACACTCGACTGTCTTGATTTTTTTCCCATAAACTAGTTACCTAGCTCACTCGACTGTGTGGAAAAATCAAGACAGTCGAGTGGGCTAAGTACGTAGTTTGTGGGAAAAATCTCCAGTTCCCGAACTTTCATAGCGTCGTATACACATCCTTGGTGCCCAATGATAGTTTCAATATAAAAATATACTCATGATATGATGCCATGGCCTCTACTTCCATCTTACATGAGCAATGATAAAATATAATCTGCTTTTATAGCGTCGTATAAATTATCTGACCTCTAAATAAACTGATACCTTATGAAAACTACATCTATACTAATCTGATACCTTTTAAAAACTACGTACCCACTTGTTTAGTTCCGATAGTATTTGCCATTTTCAAGATGAATCGATTTCAAAAGTCTGCTGCATAATAATAAAAAAAGGTGCTTTTTTCTCAGGGTATACCGAATTTTTCCAAAAATTATGGTTTGATGGAAAATGACCCTGATTTCAACATTTAATAATAATGATAATAATAGGTCTTTATTTCCCATAACAAGTACAACAAAAGAAGAAAAAAACAAGGATAATAACAAAATATACAGGTATGGGAAAACGCCGAAGATCTGGTGGCCAGTATAGCATGTACACAGTACACAGTACAAAGACCTCTGTTATTATTCTTGAGCGATAAGGATAAGGATAAGGATAGAAAAGCCGATCTCATTGTGGCCAACATAAGACTGTCAGGAGTGAACATATTTTTGAAGACATCCATTTCGATGCTTGGTATTACTATCAGCAATAACCTTTCTTGGGAAAATCACGTGCGATCAATTGTTAAAAGTGCATCTCAAAAACTTGGTTTTCTGTTTCGAGCCAGGAGCTATTTCACTTGCAGTCAGCTGCTTATGATCTATAAGGCACAGATCCGACCTGTCCTGGAAAACTGTTTCCATATTTGAAGTGCAGCACCCGAACATACCCTGAAACTGTTGGATTCTGTTCAAAATAAGGGCAATTCGTCTCGTGGGTGATGCCTCGCTCACAAACTCACTCACTTCTCTGGAACAGCGTAGAAAAGTTGGCGATCAAGCTGTATTTGATAGATATTTTCATGGACGATGATCTTCTGAAATATCAGCAATTGTTCCTACCTTGGCAGTCTCCGCGAGATTAACCAGTCGAGATGAGGCTTCGCACCCCTTCGTGGTCACTTTGGAGACCTGTAGAACATCTCATTCCAAAGACTCGTTCATCCAACGAACAGCGAGGCTCTGGAACACATTGCCAAAGGAGGTGTTCCCCGAGGCATATAACCTCCAGAAATTTGAGAAGAACACCCATTCCTACCTTATTCCCCTTTGTCCTCACGATGTTCTCTGAACATTACAGGATATCCCTTTTCGTGGGAACCAGAACAAAAAAACCAAGAAGATATAAGGAGTGCAATGAAAAGGATGAATTGGAAAATGATATCGTAGGTACCTACCCTATTAAGAAACAATATCTCGATTTATCTCGAAAATGGTTTATGTTGAAAAAGATCGGTATATTTATAAAATAGGTATTATAAATATCGTCACACCGATTTTGTTGAAATTTGGTAAAATTAATTGAATAATAAGGCGCTTATTTAGTCCTAACTTATAAGGTCCAGTGGCGTCTCAGTGGACACCACAGCCATTAATATGAAGAAAAAAATACCATTGACTATGTTTAGAAATTCTCAGTTTTTTCAGATTGAGCACCAAGAATACAACTTCTTGGTCTCTTCTGCTTCCTTTTTTTCTACGTACTCAATATAGTTATAATTCAACCTGTATAATTCTCTCTCTTTGGGACAATAAGTCTATTTGGTCTTATCAACCGAGAAGTTGAATTTATCAAGAGCAATTTTATGTCTCATTCATATTTTTCAAATCTCATATGAATGTGTATCACATTTCACTGGAAATGGTCATGAGGAACACGAAAAAAAAACATTTCATAGGTTCCAAAAGTTTATTAGACATACAGCATCAGTTCCACACAATCTATATGTTCCAAATAGTGACCTATTGGCAATTCGATGAATAACATGAGGAAAAGGTTTTATTTACATGACAGTAACAAAAACAGTAGTATCATTTGTATATACCCAATCGTTGTCGTACGTAATATTCAACAATGTTCCTCCAGCTTTGTTCACCGAAGATACCTTCGTGGTTTCGCAGATATATTGACGGGTTTCGTTACAAGGTAGATCTGACCACGTGACGTCCATTTCGGTCTTGTGTGCTTCAATGCAAGTCGCCCCATTGGCATTGGGGTTTGTTGATCTTTCTCCCCAGTGGAAGTACGTCACTGGATCACCGTTGCCCCATTTCCATTGGGATTTGATAGAGTCCCTCGAAGCAGACGTCCAGTATACACCGCGTACTTCTATAGAGTGAAAAAAAAACGAATTATAACTTGCGTATACAGGGTGAGAAAAAAATGCACCAAACTCCAAGTGTTTATTGTTCACGTAAAAATAATCGTATATATAAGAACCCATACCCAGCGAGCACAAATACATCTCAGAGATGTTAAAAGTACGATATCTCACTTCAAGCGACACCCATAAAACAAAGTCAGGAATAATAATATCTATCTGGAATTCCGATAAAAAAATATCGTGTTTTTCTTCTCGTCTATTCTTCTGTCAATTACTATTCAACAAGAATGTAGGAAAAATCAATTTACATGATACCAGTTGAAAGTTGACAGTTATCAGCCAGGTCGAAATTTAAAATTCGTTCGAACGATTTTGTTCCATATTATTTTATTGAACCGGACAAAGTGTGCCGTGTAAATTGAAGAGCAGTTCTCATAGGATTTTGTCTGATCTTTCTGAATCTGATGGAATTTTTCGAGAAAAGTGGTCACAAAGTGAACTTTTTTGACATAACAATAAAACATAAAATTTTACCAAGTCCGGACCTGGATATTTTTTTTCATAATATGTCATCTTGAATAGTTTCAATACTGATACGTCGCTGCAAAATTTCAGTAGATTACGACAAATCATTTCTGTACTATCGACGATTAAAGTTATATAGCAATTTCACATAATACCCTGTATCTTCGTTATGGAGGGTCAAAAAATAGTTTCATATATATACATCAACTCGTATTGATTTCCCCTATCAACCATTCGGCTATGTGAGTCTGCTCATGAAACACCCTGTATATTTAAGAAGAAAAGAATGAAATTAAAAAAAAGCTCTTTCCCGCTGGGGATTCGAACCGTATTGATTAATGGTATGAATAGAAAGATGTCAACATGCACTAAGATAATAATTATTAGCATTGAGGCTGAGTATAAGGGTGAGTCAGAAGAAACATTATAAATATTGATACAAGAATAACATCCATATCATATTTTGATACGATTCTGTATGTCGAATTGAATGTTCATGGAACATTTGTTGCCAGGATGAACATATTATTCTATGATCATTCTGAGCAGAACAGAACACGTTGTCAGAATATTATTCGTAAAGTATATTCTGGTGCTGTTTGGGATACTATTACGAATTATGGAGGTCGTTGGTATTATAACTAATATCTAATGGAATGAATAAAAAAGGCACTGCAAATGCGAATGCGAACAAGAAAAACATGCAAAATCGGAAAAAATTAGAATTTATCGTATTGTGACGTGAGCATGAGAAATTGTGGTGGGGCAAACAAAGAAATGGCTCAGATGAACACAAACAATAATTTCAATATCCTTCAAAGACCTCTTTGGGAAGTTATATTACGTCTCAAAGAAACATCCGCTTGCCGATATTTTTAAAAGATCCCAAAACATCCCAGGGATACCTCTCAGTAGGCACACAAAGAAATGCCACAGAAGAACAAAAACAATACTTTAATATCCTTCAAAGACCTCTTTGGGAAGTCATATAACGTCTCAAAAATACATCCTCATGCCAACATTTTCAAAACATCACAAAACATCCCAGGGATGTTTGTGCTCGCTGGGTATGTTCTTATACGATTCTCATTTGTTTTCATTGTAAATTTTGTTGTTCTGACTTGTGTAAGTGTTAGTGTCAGTGTGTTTGATGCGTTTAGTTTCAAGTTTGTACGATTAGAGTCTCATGAAATGCCATACATCTATTTAAATTCAGAATGAAGACAAATGACAATCGTATAAGAACATATGGGTTAATCGAAATTTTTACGTGTACAAGATACATACCTGGAATTTGGTGCGTTCCTTCAGACTCACCCTGTATAGTACGAAAAATGGCCAGAGTTATATTAGAACGTTCAATTGAGCCACCACCAATCAGAAATATAGAATTATTTTCATTTAAATAGTGACAAATTCATATTGTTACATACAAATAAAACGCGTCGTCACGTTTTGACGTACAATTCGAACTTCAAAATCCTCAAGGTTATACATCTCAAACTTCCTGCACAATCACATATTGTTTCAGTTTAACAGAATAATTATTCCATCTGTTGAATTTTTTTCATGTTCTGGTTCCCACGAAAAGGGATATCCTGTAATGTTCAGAGAACATCGTGAGAACCAAGGGGAATAAGGTAGGAATTGGTGTTCTCCTTAAATTTCTGGAGGTTTTATGCCTCGGGGAACACCTCCCTTGGCAATGTGTTCCAGAGCCTCGCTGTTCGTTGAATGAACGAATCTTTGGAAAGAGATGCTCTGCAGGTCTCCAAATCAACCACGAAGGAGTACGAAGCCTCAACTCGACGGGTTAATCTCGCGGGGACTGCCAAGGGAAGGACAATTGTTGACATTTCAGAACAGCATTGTCCATGAAAATATATATAAAATAGAACCAGATCGCCAACTCTTTTACGGGGTTCCAGAGAAGTGAGTGAGTTTGTGAGCGAGGCATCACCCACGAGACGAATTGCCTTTTTTGCACAGAATCCAACAGTGTCAGGGTATGTTTGGGTGCTGCACTCCGAATATGGGAACAGTATTCCAGGACAGGTCGGTTCTGTGCCTTATATAGATCATAAACAGCTGACTGGAAGTGAAATAGCTCCTGGCCGAAACAGAAAACCAAGTTTTTGGGATGCACTTCTAGCAATTGATCTCACGTGATTTTCCCAAGGAAGGTTATTGCTGATAGTAATACCAAACATCGAAATGGATATCTTCAAAGGTCAAGTTACTCCTGACAAGCTTATGTTGGGCACAGTGAGAAATATATGACTATACAGGGTGTTCCACAATTATTGGATGTCAATATTTGATTCTTCTGATGCAGAGAAATAGATTTTATTTCTTAGATCAAATTTCAGAAATACAATTCATAGTTTATGAACTTCGTATTTGTATTTGGTATTTTGGAATTATAACTTTACCACCCAGTATCTCAAAAATTAGGACATTTAGGTCATAATTATGTTCATATAAAACTTTCTTCTTTGGGCCCAAGAATCGCTTCCTCGAATATTGACATTGAATTATAAAACACCCTGTATAAATTACTAGATTATACCATTATACAGAAAAAGTGTGAATAATTTTGTTCCTATTTTGATGTTAAAGACGCTCCGGTAACGTCTGAAACCAGAAACGAGTACAGACATCAGTACGGTATCCCTAAAAATCCAGACAATGAAAAAATTGGAGAAGGCAATGAATTACACTCACGATCTTTTTCTAGCAACTTGAAGACCAAATCATTTTTATTCTGGTTTTCTATAGTCAGAAGACGTTGGGATCGTTGCTTGCAGGCATCGATGGCATCTGATTGGCTCACCTTGAAATTGCAAGAATTTTATATTATAACAACTAGAGAAGCTATATGCATCATATGGCGCTTTATGTAGGTATGTATGTCAACTACAGTTCATTTATTCTCTTAATGAAGATCTTTTATTTCACCTTATCTTCGCCTATATAATAATCCCAATCGATCTGGTCACGTGTGTCTGTTGGAGGAGCTAGAAAGAGCGAGAAAAATAATTAATATGAATATACCTGATTCCACTTGAACTGATTTCTGAATAATTGATTTCATCCTCAATGTAGGGATCCTCACCTGATTCAACGTCAATAAACACTTCGAACGGTCTCTCCTGATCCAAACTCGTCGTGGTGGCATTAATTTTTCCCTGAGACACTACCTTCTTTCCATTAACAATGATATCCACCTTGGGAACGATACTCTGGCAAATGTATCTAAACGGATCCTGGCAAGGCTGATCCATCCATCTCAATGAACCGTCTAAGATACTGACCATGATGCAGAATTCATTTTTTCTAGCGTTATTGGGCTCCCCTGACCTCCAATTATAGAATGTGATGTTTTTCCCATCGGACCATTTCCAATAATCCTGAGCCGAGTTTCTGTATCCCGAAGTCCAAAATATACTAGTATCTGTTTAAATATGAAGAGAAGGGATGTATCAGTGTTCCAAGAGTCCTAAACATCAATCCACATTCATAGTGGAGAAATGGTTTCAGATACCAGATTCGTCATTAGTCATGACCTACTCTACTGCATCATACGAACAACAGGTTCTTTTCAACAAATTCGAACCACTGAGGCAACCAAAGAACAATAATATCGATATTCAGTCCAATGTGGAAACAACTGGTCTTTGACTCAAATGAAGATTCTGGGTAGTTTGCATTGTCTTATTCTTGAAACCACCAATCTATCGGATCAGAATAGGTACGTCACCGAAAATCATTGTTTTCCTCAAAACAGATTGAGAATACTGTGGTTCCCAAGACTTCCCAAGAGTGTTGGTGATTGGAGAGAGAAAAAGTACTTGAAGCACTTTTTCTCCCATAATTTTTTTTAGTTCTGACAGGTCGACTCAGTGCTATCAGAAAAACCAGACAGCTGGAGACATTTGATGTTCCTGCCCTACTCAGTTTAGTCAAACATCTAACCATGGACTCATGAAGGAGTGGATTGTGCAATGAGCTGTGAGTCACAATGACCCATTTTTTGGGTCATTTGGTGGAGATCCTGCATATGCTATACTAACATGGAACCTATCCCAATTTAACTTGATATCTTGAACAAAATCAAAGGTTCTGGGTTCGAAAATATCATATGTTTTAGTTGCTATTGATAGAATTGGGAGAAAGATGGTAACTGCTTCAGGAGATTTGGCTGCAGATGAGAAATAAGAAACATATATAATGGCAGCACGAGTGGAATCTCATACCAAGGATTTTCCAAGTATCCAGGGAATCTCCATAATACCATCAGGTAGCAGTGAAATCTGAGCTCCCTTCTACATTTATTCATCTTGTTAGCATCAATATAACAACTTCATGCTTCAAAATACGAGAAGGGTGATCAATCCTCTTCAGAACAACTCAGAGGTGAAAGAGAAAATGGAAAAATGGAAAATTCTAAGTCAGTCTAAGGGTCTTAGTGCCCATTGAGTAGTTAGTTTTGTGCAACCTTTCAACTTCAATTCATTTGCACCAGTTCAACTGACAATGGTAGCCCCAGCAGGCGTATCTGAGGCAATAAGTCCCAACCAATGAGAATCTCTTATCCTTGGAAATCATGACAATTCGAGATAGTTCTGAAGAGTTTGGGAATGTGAACTTACCGTTTTTCACCAGCTGGTAAATCTCATCATTCTCTTTTTCATCGTAGATACTGGCTAGCTCCATGGACATATCTTGGCATCGTTCTGTGGCTTGTCCATATGATGCCTGAGAAAAAAACCTTTTTCACGAAATAAAATGACATTGTGAAGACTGAATTTTCAATCTTGTATCTGCATGTGGTATACACATCAATCAATTATTAAGACCGGCCCCGAAACGGAGCTCTGAGGTACACCATAAACATTTTTGTGAGGCGAATGAGATTGGGAGGGTGGTTCGAAATGAATGTGATACTAATACCTACCCTTGTTTTGCTGATGAATAACTCCTTTCTTCTTGCTGTTTGAGCATCTGTATTGGTGCCATTCAAAAGGTCATCAATTCGGATTCTGATTTGATGTTGGTCACAACCACTTGTAGGGTATTCGCAAATATAGCAACGACGATTTTGACACACTAGATCGTTCCAGTAAAGATTGCTTCCTTCTCTTGCCACTGCTATGCAATTGTCTGTCAAGACTCGATCGTAACGAAAATTTCTTTTTGGATTCCAGTTTTGGTATATGAAGGGTCTTCCGTCTAGCCACACATATGTTCTTCTGTCTGGTAAAGTTCTTGCAGATATCCAGCAGGCTTCACTAATATCTATGACCAATAAAATAATGAGGAGATTCTGAAGAGATTCTAAATAACAATATTTCTTGTGTGGAGGTTGTTAGATCTGCTATTCAGCAAATCTTGTGGAACTGTTGAAATCGTATACGGCAGTTGAATAAGATTACACCATGTTTTTATTACCAAAAAAGCACCATGTTTTACAATATTTCGGTATCGAGAGACTTCTATAGGAAAACTATACAGTCCTCATGGAAATGATTATGAACTAATCCTATAAATAATTTCTACAACTAGGTACGTGATAAAAAGCATCAGATAGCTTTGGAAAACCTAACTATGAAACCAATGGCTAGGAATACAACTATGTCGTGATTGTCGTGACGTCAACAGTTATGAGTAGCAAATATCGACTGTTTTGATACAATGTGACTTTTGTGATTTTGAAACCTTGTAACCATTCAAAAAATGTTTGAAAAATAATTAGAAGCGAATCCGTGTGAGGATCAAGAATGAAAAATCTATATTTGTGTCAAGGATTTATTCGAGAACAATTATTGGAGACATACTGTTGAATCAGTTTTTCTAGATTTTGATATTGTTTGACTCACCTTTTTGTCTCATTAATTCAGAAACTTCATCGTTCTTCTCTTTATTTTCAATACTGATTAGTTTCATCGATCGTGACTGACATGTCTGTATTGCTTGAGAATAGGACATCTGAAATAAAATACCCAGCAGACATGGAATTATATTTGGAAAAAATGTTTAATTATTTCGAATGATCAATGAAAACATAGATAATCAAATAACGGAATATAAGTTTTTTTATTCCGTTTGGTAACCAATAATAGTTATTGATTATATGCGTAGCGGAGGGCTACAAAAAACCGAGAGCTAAAATCTAATATTTTCTCGTGTATGAAACACGTTTTTTTTGTGTGACAGGAAAAGCGATATTCAATATTGAGAAGATATTTTTTTATGTTCTGGTTCCCACGAAAAGGGATACCCTTCCTTGGCAATGTTTTCCAGAGCCTCGATGTTCGTTGGATGAACGAGTCTTCAGAAAGAAATGTTCTGCAGGTCTCCAAAGTGACCACGAAAGGGTGCGAAGCCTCAACTCGACGGGTTAATCTCGCGGGGACTGCCAAGGGAGGAACAATTGTTGATATTTCAGAAGAGCATCATCCATGAGAATATCTATCTATGAAATAGAGCCAGATCACCAACTTTTCTAAGGTGTTCCAGAGAAGTGAGTGAGTTTGTGAGCGAGGCATCACCCACGAGACGAATTGCCCTTTTTTGGACAGAATCCAACAGTTTCAGGGTATGTTAGGGTGCTGCACTCCAAATATGGGAACATTATTCCAGGGCAGGTCGGATCTGTGCCTCATAGATCATAAGCAGCTGACTGGAAGTCAAGCCAGCTGCTGGTCCGAAACAGAAAAACAAGTTTTTGGGATGCACTTTTAGCAATTGATCTCACGTGATTTTCCCAAGAAAGGTTATTGCTAATTGTAATACCAAGCATCAAAATAGATGTCTTCAAAGGTATGGTTACTCCTGACAAGCTTATGTTGGGCACAGTGAGATCGACTTTTGTTCGTATTGAAATCTGCCAAGTTAATGGATTCGTTGCCAAGTCCATATTCATGTTGTCAACATTGCTCCCTCGTTCGTTTCTGATTTGTCTGGCTGGTATTGGAGCTCTGGAAGAGAAGGCGGTATCATCCGCGGAGCTGTGTACTGGACAACAAATCGTTGATATGGAGTAGAAATAGTGTTGGTGTTAGAATTGATTCTTCCGGAACACCAGCATTTATGATGTTTGAGAGAAAACTAGCTAGCAGAGAACATAGCTGGGGAGGCAAGCCATAAGTTGGAAGCTTGGCGAGGAGTCCGTGGTGCCAGACTCGATCAAATGCCTTGGAGATATCAAGTGCCACGGCTAAGGTTTCACCATATTTTTCAATAGATTGCTGCCATATATGTGAGACGTAAGCCGTAAGCGAGCAAGTCATCAGTTGATCTCTGATGACGGAAGCCATATTGCCTATCGTTGATAATACCTGAATGTTCCAGGTATTTCATGAGCTCGATGTTGATAGCTCTCCTCATGATCTTTGAAATAATAGATAGCAGTACACCGTTTCGTAACCAAAAATAGTTATAGATTATACGCGTAGCGGAGGGATACAAAAAACCGAGAGCTAAAATCTAATATTTTCCCGTGTATACTGCACAATTTTTTTCTGTGACAGGAAAAGCGACGATACAATATTGAGAAGTTTGAAATGAAATTTGGAAATTATCGATGTGAAATGTGTTTGCAGGCATCTTTTTGTAAGCTTCTTTATTGTTGCCATGGAAACCTTTTGAAGTAATTGAATATGTGTCAATTTATTTCCCTGTTTTAATTTCGAGAAATTGCAAACTTAGTGGTTGTTTAGTAATTCACGAAATCGTTAAAAGAAAGTATTGTAGTCCCTGATACTTTCATTTTCTACACATTATTGAAAAGTAAATTGGATACATACGCTGTCTCTCCCCAAGAAATACTTGTCATCTAAGGTAGCTTCACCATGAGCTGAAAATATAATAAAATAAAATATTCATCCAATGAATAATCCTCTTCTTCCTCACTGAAAAACATGTTGTGTTTTTGTTGTTGATACACGCTAAAAAAATCCTATTGAGTGAAGCTTTTCGTCAAAATAGAAATGCACAATAAGTTTCATCATGAACTCAAATTTTGTCTCAGTGTCATACTATACAGTGTCATTCATAAAGTCGGCATCATATGGGAAAAACTTTCATTAATGACTCATTATTTTGGAATTCGAGTTGGACGTTAAGTTTTGCTTCAAGAAAGATGAAAAATGGCCTACTCAATCGGGGTCACGTGACTTTCACTACATGTCAAAAGTGACATTTTTTCAAATTAATCAGAATTCTGAATCTTGAGCCACCCTGTATCTGTTCCGATTAAATATCAGTAAATAGTGAATCAAAATTTGAGATAGGGACATGTGAGCCGTTTGGACCGATAATGAATAGTTTCGACACAAAAAAAAATCATTAAGTTGATTTTGAACATTTGTAATCATTTTTGATAGACCCCAGATACATCGATGAAATCAGCTCTTCAGGAAGAATCTAAAAATGCGATAAAATACAGGGTGTTCCATTTGAAATATCTGCATTGTCGAAAATATTTGTAATGAAGAGAGCGTATTCTAAAATAGGAGCATGTACATTTCCATAGATTTATTTCTACTCATTCTCGATATAAAGATAGTGAGCTCGTCGTGATATACCCTGTATAATGAGGTCATCAATATCTAACACGTTCAAAATTTTCAGGAAGAATTGCCATCTAAACGACTTTGAAAATTCTACAAAAGTAATATAAGTACCAATGTATCTCACCAGATTGCCAAAAAATTGGGAGTAACAAAATTATCAACAACTGCCACATTTCCTCGGTTATATTATGATACCAATAAACAATGAAAGAAAATTCATGCTGAAACTTGTTTTAATGATCTTTTTCTATTGCCATGTATCCTATTAACATTTCTCTGATTATAGGTACCTAATTAAAACCGAATGTTGGATATTTCAATACCACGTCTTTCAAAGCCAATTTCGAAAACTTTTGCATAAAATGTCCCAATTAGTATTATTTGTACTCGTTCATATACAAAGTGCGACTCTTAAAATGGAACTCTCTCTTAACTCTTTTGTTTCCAGAGATATGGGAACATTTTGGACAAAAAGTTGTTTGAAACGACCCAAACCTCCATTTTTTGGAGTTGTTTCATATGCAGGGTCATTAGTTTTTCCGAAAACGACATCAACTTCGATTTTTTCAATGGATGAACATCATATATGATTTCCCACATATACAGGGTGTATCTAAAGAATACTGAAAAAATTCAAGGGACAATTCCTTGTGATATTTCAGTAAATAAAGTTTTCTTCGTTTTCGAGATACAGAGCATTAATATTTCCGTGAAAAATCTTTTTTCTATTGATTTCTCAATTGTCTTTTCATCAATTTCGTAAAAACGTTATGGTTTTGTTAATAGTAAAATGAAGCTCCTTCAGCGGTATTTTGGTGAAACTTGATCATCAATAACTGAATTATTTTTCACCTAAATATCAACTCATATATATTTTTGAAATCAGAAAAGAAGGCTCTATCGACATATCAGAAAATATATAGGGTGTTCCCTTGAAAAAATGGGAAGTTAATGTCCTTTCCGGAGAAACGAATGACCCTGTATGTGGAGCAACCTCACGAAATAAAAGTTTGGGTGGTTTCGAACAACTTTTTGATTCAACATTTCTCCACATCTCTGAAAACAAATGAATTTGGGAGGGATTCCATTTTAAGAGCCCCACCCTGAACAAACAACGAGTTTTTTTCCCATCTAATGATTATTTTTTTAGTATTTTTGTTATTATTATTCTAAGCTGAAGTATTTATTCATGATATATCATACAAGCTTATAAACTCAATTTCTATCTCACTTATTGACAGCTACAAGTAACAAGAAAGGTTCTGATTCTGATAACAATGTGATTTCTCGAAGGTCGCCATCATTATATACAATATTATTTGCTTCAACAATGAGAACAATTTGTTGTTCTTGTAACAATATGTCGCTGACAATAAAGCGAACGTATGGTGGTTTAGTAGACGCTGAAATGATCGTTGGAAGTGACGAATGAGACTGAGGATACGATAAACTATTCCAAGTTCACCGCAAATTGCAAGATCAATTAAGATTTACGACAGTCGACAGATGACATATTGTGAATGAGATTTACATCTCATTGTTTGTGGTCTAGGACAGTTAAATCATAAAAAAATATAGACTGAAGAAAGGAACGTATTTCGCAATAGAAAATAAGCGTACGCCACCTATCGGAGTTCTTGAAAGCTGTCAAAGCGGCCTGTTTACTTTGTTTTGATTGGTTCACATTTGTTTTTTGTCTGTTTTTATTGGTCACATCATCGAAACAAACCGCCCAGAAGTGTTCAAGCTGCTGCCATGAGGTGGAGCGACGTGTTATTTTCTATCGCGAATACCCCAAAATAGATTACTTCAATCACTTTTTGAGCAATATCACCCTGTAATATTACCAATTGGCATAATGTTGGTTGTTTTAGTCGACTGGAAGCAACACTGGATCTTGGTTTGAAAATTATCTAGTTGATAGAAACCAGTTCGTGATGTATATATGAGAGATTCATTTCCTCCAATAAGAAACATATCTTGTGGTGTACCCCAGGGATCAATTCTCGGACCAATTTTATTTCTAATTTATATAAATTCTATCTCAAGTTTGAAATTACAAGGGAATTTGAAATTATTTGCTGACGATACAACTCTCATTTATTACGGAAAAAATATACAAGAAATAAAAAACCAAATGGAACAAGATCTCGCTTCAATAACATTATGGTTACAAGATCATATATTGACACTCAATTTTGATAAATCTTCTTTTATGTTCATCTCGAAAAGAGTTATACCTGATAACCAAATAGATCCGTTGAAATTCGGGAATTATTGTATAAATCCTACAAAAAACTATACAAATTGAGGTCTTTTATACCTCTTCAAAACTTGGAATTAATTTATTCCAGTTTTATTTACTCTAAATCGATCTGGGGTACTGCAGCAAAATCTGTTTTGAAACCACTGAAATCTCTTCAAAATAAAGCCATAGAATGTATTTATGAACTACCATTTCTGGAATCAACATCTAGACTATACAAACCACGAGATCTACTAGATATTGACTCTCTCTTCAAAATGAAAGTATGCATTTTCATTCATTTCACTAAAAATAAGAAAAAGCACTCGAATCTTACTTTCAATATCAATTCTGATACTCATGAGCATCACACCAGAAAAGTGAACATTTAAAAACTGTCAAAATAAAAACCCAATTCGGGAAAAAATCATTGTATTTTTGTGGAATAAATATTTATAATAGTCTACCCAACAGAATAAAATCTATTAGATTCGTCACAAAATTCAAGTGTGAACTGAAGAAATATATTTTATCAATTTAACTCTCTCATTGTATTGCATATTTGATTTTATTTTTTTTTTTGTTTCCCTCTATAAACATTGTATGTTTCTTGGGATCAATAAATGTTATTATTATTATATTGGCGAAGCAGTACTTCCATTAATTTTAATCATTATTGGCCCAGTAATGCAACTGTGAACTGACCGATGTATTTTCAGTGCGTTTCCACTAGAAGTAAAGTGGTTTATTCTCACACAGATATTGAGATTATGTACGGAATGGTAATTTTCCTAACAAGTGCGGAAAGTGAAACTTCCCGCACGGGATTCCGTTGATCCGAACGATACGAAGCGCAGTTCGGGCAAGCAGTCGAGTGCGGGAAAGACACTTTCCGCGTGAGTTAGAAACAATATTTTTTTAAAAGCGTAGGGAATTGATTGATTCGTTCAATCAATTATTCCTGCAAATAAAAACAACTAACAATAGTCTCTAGTATAGTATCTTCTAATAATTAGTGATAAATCTATTGTGTGTACCGTTCGAAGCATTATGAAGGTAATGGTTGCGGAAGCCAGCATGCCCATAGTGTTTGGCCTCTAGGTTGACCCATAGACTAATATTCCACTGATATTCCAGTTCTTTCTTTGGTTTTGGTGCCATCTGTGTACCACTATGGCTCCTTCTTTGAACTCAATATACCCTTGAGTCACTGTTCTATTCTTCTTTGCAGCTCAGTTTTGTGGTGGGAGGGGAAATATTGCGATATTATAGAAATAAAAACAAAGGTGTAGAGATGAATGGAAAAGATTTCGGAAAAAATGTGCGAAATCAAGCAACACCAACAAAGCTTGTGGCTCCGACGGAATCCCACCGATTGTTCTCAAGAAATGTACTCCCGAACTAACACCTGTTCTCTGCAAGTTGTTCAACTACTCTTATGGCATGCCTCCCCAGCTATGTTCTCTGCTAGCTAGTTTTCTCTCAAACAGGTCTCTCCTTGTAGTGGTCGACGGAGTTTTATCTGACTCTCTTATCGTAAATGCTGGTGTTCCCCAAGGATCAATTCTAGCACCAGCACTATTTCTACTCCATATCAACGATTTGTTGGAAGCTTCATGTCCAGTACACATCTTCGCGGATGATAGTACCCCCCATACCGCCTTCTCTTCCAGGGCTCCAATACCAGCCAGGCAAATCAGAAACGAACGAGGAAGAAATGTTGACAACATAAATATGGACCTGGCAAAAATTCTCGGATGGGGATCCAATAACTTGGTAGAATTCAATGCAAACAAAACACAAGCATGCCTCTTCTCAAGAAATGCCGATCTCACTGTGCCCAACATAAGCTTTTCAGGAGTAACAATACCTTTGAAGACATCCATTTCGATGCTTGGTATTACTATCAGCAATAACCTTTCTTAGGGAAATCACGTGAGATCAATTGCTGAAAGTGCATCCCAAAAACTTGGTTTTGGACCAGGACCTATATCACTTCCAGTCAGCTGCTTATGATCTATAAGGCACAGATCCGACCTGTCCTGGAATATCGTTTCCATATTTGAAGTGCAGCACCTAAACATACCCTGAAACTGTTGGATTCTGTCCAAAAAAGGGCAATAATTCGTCTCGTGGGTGATGCCTTGCTCATAAACTCACTCACTTCTCTGGAACACCGTAGAGAAGTTGTCAATCTGGCTCTATTTTATAGATATTTTCATGGACGATGCTCTTCTGAAATATCAACAATAATTGTTCCTTCCTTGGCAGTCCCCGCGAGATCAACCCGTCGAGTTGAGGCTTCGCACCCCTTCGTGGTCACTTTGGAGACCTGAAGAACATCTCTTTCCAAAGACTCGTTCATCCAACGATCAGCGAGGCTCTGGAAAACATTGCCAAGGAAGGTGTTCTCCGAGGCATATAAACTCCAGAAATTTAAGAAGAACACCAATTCCTACCTTATTTCCCTCGGTTCTCACAATGATCTCTGAACATTACAGGATATCCCTTTTCGTGAGAACCAGAACATAAAAAAATAATCCTTTCTAGAGTTTGGAGTCCGTCTCTGGGTGCCTTTCGGGCTTTGTTTCTTTTCGTGAAAAAGTGTGTTGAGCAAACATTCCTGCATTCCATGGCGGGGCGTGTGAACATCACCAAAAAAACGAAATGTTTTGATTGCCCCGCGTACGATATGCCTATACTATTCTTTCTTGGCGACACCTCATGAGAAACTGGTCACTGAAAAAGCAAACAAACATATTTGTACGGAATGTTAACAGACGAAATAAAGGTACGAGAATCAGTGGCGTTTTTGGGTTATGCAAGAGTTGTTCCGGGAAATAGCACGCTTAACTATACAGGGTGTCTTAGAAAATATGGTGGAAAAGAGAGGATGGGATTACTGGACCAATTCTGCCAATTCACCATTTTCGCGATGTAAGGTGTCAAGGTCATGATTAAAATTCACGTCCGGCGTAGTATGTTGTCTGTCAATAGCTCATTTGATGTCACACTAACTAATTCTTCGACATTATTGAAAC